TTTTTAAAAGAATATAAAATAGCTGGGAATGGTAGCATACATCTATAATTCCAGCACTCTGGGAAGCTGAGGACTTAGCAAGACCCTGTCTCAGAATTTAAAAAATATAAGAAATGGCTTGGGATGTTACTCATTGCAAAGGTCCTGGGTTTAATCCCTAGTACTGTAATAATAAAACCATAACAATAATAATACATTAGGCCAATGAAAACAATATACTGTAATAAAAGTTACATGAATGTGATCTCTTCTTCCTCTTATTCTGTCTCTCAGTATCTTATTGCAATCACTGTATGTTGTAGGAATTTCTGCATATAATTTTTCCTTAAGTCCAGAACTTGCACCTTTTAACTTAAAGGACATACTTTACAGCTTTTCTTTGGCACATCTAAATTGCCAGTGTCACTACTCTTGTGCCCTGGGGTGATTGTTATATAAAATAAGGGGAGACTGCTGTACAGTCAAAGTACTGCTTTTAGCACCTTGAAAAAAAGAGTGCGGCTTACAGGAAAGATGTTGGAAACATGATAGAGTGAATTCCGAGTCCCGGTGTGGTCCCTGCCCCACCCAGCCCATCTCTCGGGCCCTCTGCCTTGTGTGGCTCAGGCCAGTCTCACACCTTCTTCACTTGGCAGGGTGGATGTGGTCATCTGCCTGAGCACCACCGTGCGCAACGATACTCTGCAGGAAGCCAAGGAGCACAGAGTGTCCCTGAAGTGCCGAAAGCAGCTCCGCGTGGAGGAGCTGGAGATGGTAATGGTCCCTAGAACCCAGTGGGGCTGGGGAGGGGCTAGGCCAGCTGAGAGACGTTAGCAGCTGCTGTGATGGATGAGATGCAGAGTCATGTGCTGAAATTCTACCATGTGACAGTTAGCTTCCATTTTCACTGTTTTGCTTTGATTTTGAATAAGGCATTTTTTTGTACACTGGTTGTGTTAGTCCAAGCCTGTAATCCCAGAACTTGGGAGGCTGAGGCAGGAGCATTGCACTAAGTGTGCACGGGGAATGTACACACAGTTGCACAGTTTAGACTACATAGTGAGATCTCGCTAAAAAAAAATTTTTTTTTTTAACCACACACACCTAGAAGTCTAGGAATAAGACAGACTCTTAAGTATGTGATGCAATCATTGGATGAACATGTCCTCAAGGATTGAGGGTCTTTTCCTCTCCACTCTGGTGGTGGTAGCATCGGCTTCACCCTAAGGCTGGTTTCCCTCACTGTTCTATGATGGCTGCCTGCAACAGCTGGACTGTCTACTTACTCTGCTGTTTGTCTTCAGCAAGAAAAGGAAGACAAGACAGAGAACCCTTCCTTATGGTGAAATGAAGCTCCTTCCCTTCAGTTTGGTTGCGGCAGCTTGGGATCTATGCCCATTCCCTAACTAGCAGCAGTCCCCGGGGGCACCCCATGGACTAAGGAGCCACAGCTCTCTAAGCAGATGGGTCTGGGGGCGTCCTCCACCTTGTGCACAAGAAGAGAAGCTGCTTGCTTCCCTTTTGAGGTCATCCCCAAACTGCTAAAAATATTTTTTTGATATATTTTATTTTATTTCATCCCTCCCCTCCCTAAGAAATATTTTTAATATGTTTTGTGCTGTGGACCATATTGTTCATTTCAGTCTAAGAAAAAACTAGTAATGGAGACCAAACACTATTAATGTCCGAGAAGTTACCACATGTTAACATACACTCCAGTGATTGAATGATGACTCTGTTTTGATAAAACAAGAAAGGTAAAACCCCGCATTGACATAAAGCTTTTAACTTTTGGAAGTGATTTTCATGCAATGCTATTTTCTCTGTCAGCACTCCTCTGAAGGACAGGCCATGACATTTCAGAGTAGACATGTATTTCATTCTGCAGAGAAAGCTCCCAACCATGTAGCTGTTTGGCAGGATTGGGAATAAATCCCAGTTCTCCTGGTACATGGCCATGCTGCTGCCACTTGTAAGAGATGTGGTCACTAGACAAGGCCCAGTCAGCAAATAGGTCTGCAGGATATTTGACATCTCTGGCCTGAAATAAGCCCACCTATCTGTGCTGCCTTTCTCATGCAGACAGAGGACATCCGTCTGGAGCCAGATCTCTATGAAGCCTGCAAGAGTGACATCCGGAACCACTGTTCCACTGTGCAGTATGGCAATGCTCAGGTGACTTTTCACTTTAATTTTTTAATTGCAGAGGTCATGTGGAAATATCATTGTAATAACTAATTCTTTGCTGGCGGGAGGAGACCTGTCACATCCTATTCAGCCTCATGCCACACCAGGGTACTCTTCCGAGAGTTCCTCCCCATACTTACTCCTCTTTGTCTCCTTTTCATTTTCTTCCCTCCTTCCAGTTACTTTGTCCTGCCCTACCCTGTCTCCCTTACAAATTCCTAGTGATCCTTCAAGTGCCTTCTCTATATAGCTTTCCAAGACTCTGTACCTCCAGAATTACCCTGTGTTCCCATTGCACCCAAAGAACTGCCAGCAACACCCCCAGCCCTTTTTATTTTGAGATAGGTCTTGAACCTGGGGGTCTCCTACCTCAGCCTCTGGAGTAGTTGAGATTACAGACTACTATACCCAGTGTGCACACCAAAGTTTTTAATTAGATCCTACATAAGGATCATCTAGGAGTTTTTTTGGTTGTGTTCTGCAGTACTAGGGATTGAACCCAGGTCCCACATTGAGCTACATCCCCAGTTCTTTTTTTTTGAAACAGAGTCTTGCTATGTAGTCCCGGCCGCCCTTGAACTTGCATTGATCCTTCTATCTCAGCCTCCTAGGTGCTGGAATTACAGGTGTGCGCCACCATGCCTAACTTCAAACAAATGGGTTTTTTTTTTTTGGTACCAGGGATCGAACTCAGGTCTTTGCGCTTGCGCAGCAGACAGCGAAACCACTGAGCTAAATCCCCGGCCAGACAAATGGTTTTTTAAAAATGTTTTCCCATTACTCAGCTTCTCTTAGTTAAGGGCATTGCCATGGTATTATTTTAGCCTCTGAGATAATCCTTTTATTATCTTGTATCTACCATTGGGGATGCAAAGTCTGAGCCAGTCTGATTCTCATTTGTTTGTAATCTGTTTCTGATAAGTTTGTGTTTTGTAGGGTTTGGTTTTGTCTGGTTTGGTTTTTGTGATACTAAGGTTTGAACCTATACTAGGCAAGTGCTCTACCACTGAGCTATATCCTCATCCCTTTTTTAAATTTTATTTTGAGACAGGGTCTCACTAAATTGCTTAGGCTGGGCTTGAACTTGGCACTGGGATTACAGGCCTGTATGACCATGCCCAGTATGTTTTCTGTTTTTAATGCTGTATAACTTCAGTGAGATATGATTAGGTACACTTTTCTGTTTTCTTTGTCCAGATTGGCTCTTTTGATATCAGAATTCGTTTCTTTTAGTTCTGGGATATTCTTGGTCATTATTCTTTTAGATAATTCTTTCATAGCAAGGGTGTGGTGGTACATTTCTGTAATCCTAGCTACTCAGCAAGCTGAGGTAGGAAGATCACAAGTTCAAGGGGAACGTGGACAGTTTAACAAGACTCTGTCTCGATTTTTTTTTAAAAATGGGCTTGGGCTAGGTATGGTGGCCCATGCCTATAATCTCAGTACTTGAGAGGTTGAGGCAGGAGGATCGCCATGAGTTCAAGACCAGCCTGAATTGTATAGCCAGACCCTGTCTCAAAAAGGTGGGGAGAGGGCTGGGGATTTAGTTCAGTGGTTCCGCTGGCTGCCTCGCAAGCACAAGGACCAGAGTTCGATCCCCAGTACCAAAAAAAAAGGGGGGATGGCCTAGAATGTATCTAAATGATATAGCACTTGCTTCCTTGTGTGAGACGCCAGTACCACCAAAAAAAATTGCCTCTTCCTTCCTTCTGAATTCCTATAAAGAATTGGAGCATCTTGTGTCTGTCTTCCATCTCACTTTAACTTTTTCTTATATGCCTTCTGATCTTTATTACTTTGTATAACTACCCGTTCTTTTTTTAACTACCTATTCTTGATTCTTATTTACCATTTCTTTCTGTGTTGTTCTGAGGATATTAAAGATATTTTTGAATTACCGTTTTGCTTGCTCTGTTACCTTTTCCCTCAGCTGTGAGTCCTTGATTTATCTGTCATCTTTTCTTAAGGTATTAGTCTGCCTTTGCTAGTTGCTGATTCCTGGTTGTCCCTTGAGGATTTGAGAGAAGGCTCATGACTGCCCTGGATGCTATAGCTTCCCCTCTGCTTTCCTTATTGGTGTTTTTGTTACGCCTAAGGCTTAGTGTAGAGAAGGGAAGCTTTCAGGATATACTTAATTATCTCAAAATCTCTCCCATGACACTTTTGCTTTTATGTCATCACTCATCTTTTCTGTCATAGTTATTTGTAGCTTGCCCTGTGGGATTGTATTTGTCAAGGCCAAAGATTGGGTCTAATACATACGTAGCATCTACCAGTACCTTCTCATGTGGTGTACAGTGAGTTGAGTTGAACCCCCCAGCTCAGGCCTCCTGTTGAGTCAGAGTTGTTGCTGCAGCACATGTAAGGGAGCCTCATGTGTTCTCCAAGGAATCTTGAGCAGGAATGGTTCTAGAAGGCAGAAGAAACCAGGACATCAGAGTGGGTTCCCTTCCTTTTAGACCCCAGTACAACCTGCTAGTCAGCCTGAAGTTTTACACTGTTTGGTTTGGTACAGGCCTTAAGGTTGGAAATCTGCAAGTGTAATTCTCTTCACTGAGGAAGTCTTGATTCCTGTTTCTGGGAACTACAAACAAGGTGTTTGGGTAGGAAAATAGGGCCATGCATTAAGAACTGAATGCCCTGACACACCTCCACTTGACTATAACTTTTTTTTTTTTTTTTTTTAACTGGGGATTGTACTTGAGACCTTGTGCTTACAAGGCAGGTGCTGGAACCACTGAGCTAAATCCTCGGCCTTGACTATAACTCTTTATGTCATAGATTATTGAATGTCTAAAAGAAAACAAGAAGCAACTGAGTACCCGCTGTCACCAGAAAGTATTTAAGCTGCAGGAGACAGAGATGATGGACCCGGAACTGGACTATACACTCATGCGAGTGTGCAAGCAGATGATAAAGGTAAGAGCCAAGTGCAGTGTACGTGAAAATGATAGTGTAAACTTCTTTGCATGGTGACCTCTTAAAGATGGGGTTCCTAGGCAGCTGCCTCTCCCAGCACCTTGCAGGTTCCTGGGCCTCACCCAAGATCCACTGAATCAGAAGCTCTGGCCATGGAGCTGGCCATCTGTCCACAGCCCTCCCAGTGAGATGATGCTGCCTCAAGTTGAAAATCCAGAGCTGAGTCATGAGTAAATAGATGTGCCGTACATACGTGACTGGTTTTGAGGGTGGTTGAGGATAGGTGTACTGATAAAGCCACCATCCAGTGTCCTGATCAGATCATCTCACACCCTCAAAAGATTTGTTTTGTTTTGCTTTGTTTTTTGAGAAAGGGTCTCACTATGTAGTTCACACTGGCCTTGAACTCATGGCAGTCCTCCTGCCTTGGCCTCCCCAGTACTAGGATTACAGGGTGCAGTACCACCATACCCAGCTATGATTTTTCTGTTCTGAGGTTCTGTTGCTTTATTTCTCCAGTGAATATTCCTTAATATCAGAAGTTCCTTGATCTGTCCACATATACTAAGAAAGAAACCTTAAGAAAACCAACATTTTATTTGTTTTTCTTTTTTTTTTTTGAGACCAGAAAAAAACCTTTGCTATTTCATGTAGGCCTTGAGAACACACTGTGTAGTCCAGGTTGGCCTCAAACTCACAGCAGTCCTTCTCCCTCACTTAGCCTCCCAAGTGCTGGGATTACAGGAATGTGCCACCATGCCTGGCTATCCTTTTCTAAAAAACAATTTCATAGATAATTTGAGCCTCACAAGTGTAAGCCAGGCATGATGGATGGCACATGCCTATAATTCCAGTACCGAAGAGGCTGAGGCAGGAGGATCAAGAGTTTGGAGTCAGCCTGGGCTGCATAGCAAGTTTGACGCCAGCCTGAAGTACATAGTGAAACCGTACCTCAAACATCCCCCAGAAAGCATAAGTCTCTTTACCTAGGCCTAGCACAGTTGAATCCTGAAAATATGGAAATGCGAGGCTCTGGTTTGAGAGAGCGTTATAAGATTTTATAAAAATCAGTCTAAGGGCAGGGGATTTAGCTCAGTGGTTCCGGTGCCTGCCTCCCAAGCACAAGGTCCCGAGTTTGATCCCTGGTACAAAAAAAAAATCAGTCTACACAGGGCTGGTGATATAGCTCAGTGGTGCTGTCTTGAGTTCAATCCCTGGTACCAAAAAAAAAAAAAATCAGTCTATAATCCATACGCTTGCATTAAGTCAATAGATTATAATCACACATGCTTTAGGAAGAGAGGCTTGATGCTAAAGTGCCCCAACTAGAGTTTATCAGACATTGTGACACTAAAGACCTTTAGATTAAATAAGCAGAAACAGAGTTTAGTACTAGTCCAAAACTGCGCTCTGACATACAGGACAATAGTAAATGTAGAGGACAGCCCCACAGTGTTGGTAGGACTGTAGCCCTTATATTTAAGATGAACCAGCCCAGCATGGTGGTGCACGCCTGAAATCGTAGCACTTGTGAAGCTGAGGCAGGAGGATCATTGTGAGTTTGAGGCCAACCTGGGCTATATAACCTGTCTCTAAATCAATCAGTCAATCAATCAATCCCAGAGGTGGCCTTACCCCACATCCTTGTTTGCATTGGTTGGTGGGCAGGTCCTACATTTTTTCTGCTGAGACTGAGTAGGTAGCAGTTTAAAGGCTTGATGGCCACCGAGGACAGTGTTATATTCATACTCAAACAGTTAAGTTCTTGAGATGGCTTGCATTTTAACATAGCCATGGCCATAGGGGTCAATTCCATGCAAATTAGTTACCAGAAAGGTAATGGAGAGAAATTGACAAGCATAGAAGAGAGTGAGTACAGAAAGGGAACTCGGGGCTGGGTGCTTACTCCGACCTGGCTATGCACTTGTCCCGGCGATGCCTTCGTGCTGCTGCTTTTGTGAGCTCTCAGAGAGATGTAACAGTGATTGTAAGGGAGTTAGTGTCCAGGTGTGGATAGCTGATTTCGTAAAACCTTGTTTCTTTGCAGAGGTTCTGCCCAGAAGCAGATTCTAAAACCATGTTACAGTGCTTGAAGCAAAATAAAAACAGTGAATTGATGGATCCCAAGTGCAAACAGATGATAACCAAGCGCCAAATCACCCAGAACACAGGTACGTCTTGGCTCAGCTCTCCCAGGTCCCATTGGATATAACTAAGGGAAACAAGAGTAGGCACACAGTTACCCAGTTCAACCAGATGCTTTGCTGCTGGCAGACTCAGGAGAAGACTGGGTGTAACGGTGTGCCTTTCTCCTCTAGTGAAGAGCATCCAGGAAAACAGAGTGAGGGACAGGGGAAAGGAGAGGCTGAAAGTCTGGAGACTGCCCTTAACATACAGAAGGGCCGAGCGTGGTGGTGCAGGCCTGTAATCCTAGCATTTGGGAGGCCCAGGCAGGAGGATCGCCATGAGTTCGAGGCCAGCCTGGGCTACATGGTGAGACCCTGTCTCGGAAAACCAAAAATAAAATAAAAGAACATCCAAAGGAATCAGTGCTAGAACTTCTTGGAAAGAAAAGTGTAGATTTAATACAGCTTCATGAACATGGCAGGTGATACAGGTGATCTGGTTTAGAACAGAGAAATTTGAGCACTGGGCTGCAAGACCTTATAGGTTGATGGGCAAACCATGTTAGATATTTTTTTCTTGGCGTTTTCAAAAATAGCTATCATGGGCAAGGCTGCTCATATCTCCTTGACATTTTTAATAAAGGACCAGAAAATCCTACAAAGTAGAATGTCTGGGGACCTATAGTACTTTTGAACTAAATCACATTGCTCATTAACAACAGCCAAGCAAGAGTTCCGTAGATGTTTACTGAATGAACAAATTAGTGCTTATAGTCTGGGCCATTGATGTGCATTGCCATGTAGTTGTGGTTATTGTCCCCTTTTGGAAGGTGGATTTCTAAAATTTGTGAAAATGTCTCCAATGTAATATTTTGTGTATTTACACTTTCTGCTTTAGATTACCGCTTAAACCCTGTGCTGAGGAAAGCCTGTAAAGCTGACATTCCAAAATTCTGTCATGGCATCCTGACCAAGGCCAAGGACGATTCAGAGCTAGAAGGCCAAGTCATCTCTTGCCTCAAGCTGCGATATGCTGACCAGGTAACCGGCCAGGCTCCATGGCAGTGTGTAGGGAGCCGCCTCTGTCCCTGTGAGAGCTTTCTCGGTGGGAGGCCCAGCTGGCTCTTGTTTTCCCAACACCTTTGTTAGCCCTTCCCCAAGCCAGCAGCTAAGGGGTGAAGTAAAAACCTGACATTTTCTGATGGGCTGTCCCTTTGTCACATGTAGCGGCTCTCTTCAGACTGTGAGGACCAGATCCGGATTATCATCCAGGAGTCGGCACTAGATTACCGCCTCGACCCTCAGCTCCAGCTCCATTGCTCAGATGAGGTAGGAGAGCGAAACTGGTATGGCCAGAGCTGCTGGGGGAAGACTGTGTAAGAAAAGTTTTCTGCTGTACTTTGTTTCTCTTCGGCCCTGAGCTCCTGGTTAGTTGCAGGCCCATCTTTAAGGCTCTCTACTCTGAGTCCCAGGGTCTCTCTTGAACAAGGGTATTCTTTTATTCTTGCTTCCTGCATATTATTTGTTCTTCCATTTTCCTTATTCCATATCATCAACTCAGAATACCCTTAGACCAGATATAGCTTTAAGGAAGTGCTCTTCCTTGGAAATTATTTGACCTCATAGCAAGAAAAGGCATAGCTGTTCAACATGTGTCAACTTTAGGAAATCACACCAAAAGATATCTCAAAGATGCCTACCCATAAAACTGTGCAAAGAAAGTCAAGTTTGTTATCTTTGCTTCTAGGCTGTTTCAGAATGTGTGTCCTGGGCCAGGGATTTAGCTCAGTGGTGCCTCTGCCTGCCTCTCAAGTGCAAGTTCCTGAGTTCAATCCCCGGAACCAAAAAAAAAAAGAATGTGTGTGTCTGTCCAAGTTGAGAGAGGTTGACTTTGAACTCTAAATCCTAAGCATTTGCTTTTGGATTTTGCTTGGGTATCTACCTCCCTGCTGTGGAATCAGTGTGGTCTTGTTGATGACAAGTCTGGGGGCAACCTGACTCCTGTGCATTTACTAACTGCAGCTCTGTGAAGGAGCCCAGAGCCTGGGTGCCTGGATTCAGTGCAGGAGGGGGTGTGCCTCACCAGGAAGCTATTTGAGATGCGCATGTGTTTAAAGGCCCAAGTTTCTGTCTGTAAGCAGCAACCGCAGACACTGGTGTTCAGGATGGGCAGGACACAGCAGGCTCCTCGGCTCTGGCCCTTCCTGTGCCCAGTGGGACGGCTTTGTTTCCCTTTGTTTCCTGAGCAGATTGCCAGTCTCTGTGCTGAGGAAGCAGCAGCCCAGGAGCAGACAGGTCAAGTGGAGGAGTGTCTCAAGGTCAACCTGCTCAAGATCAAAACGGAAATGTGTAAAAAGGTAGCCAACCCTTTCCGGTTTCCCTCACTCTGTTTGTCCACTTCTGTGTGTGTGTGCGTGCGCCCTTGTGTGTGCACCCATGTTGCCCAGTCTGGCCTTGAACTCCCGGGCTCAAGTGATCCTCCTGCTTCAGCCTCCCGAGGAGCTGGGACTATAGGCCCCACACCACTGCACCTGGCTTTGCTCCCATTTTCCCCTTCTTCTTTTGATCTTATGGCGTCTACTCCTTAATAAGGAAGTTGAAAACAAGCCTTCCTGCTTCCTTTTGTTTCTTTTGTTTTTCCCTTTCTGCCATTCACTTGGGATTGAACCCAGGATCTTCATACCAAGCTATTTCCCCGGCCATTTTTTTTTTCCCCGGTTCCGGGAATCAAACTCGGGTCCTTGCACTGAACTAAATCCCCAGCCCCTCCCCAGCCACTTTTGAGACAGGATCTCACTGTGTAGCCCAGGCTGGCCTTGAGCTAACATTGCTCCTCCTGCCTCAATCTCCGGAGTGCTGGAATTACAGCCGTGTGCCACCACGCCCGCCCAGAAATTTTTGAGACCAGGTCTCACTAAGGCACTAAATTGCCCAGGCTGTGCTCAAACTTGTAGTCCTCTTGCCTCATCCTCCTCAGAATGCTAGAATTACAGACATTACAGAAATGTGCCACCAAGACTGCCCCTTCCATTGAACTATATCTCTAGCCCTTGTTTGTTTGTTTGTTTGTTTGGACAGAGTCTCACTATGTAATTCAGGCTGACCTTGAACTCACCATATAGTCCAGGCTGGCCTCAAACTCATAGTGATCCTCCTGCCTCAGCCTCCCAAGTGCTGGGGACCCCTTTTTACTTTTTATTTTGAGACTCGGTCCTACTAAGTTGTTACAATGCCCAAGCTGTGCTCAAACTTGCTATCTTACCTCAGCTTCCCGAGCTATGGGCGTGTGCCACCATGCCTGGCCCTGATCAGCATTCCATATTGTTCCTTCTTCCAAACCTTAAGCTGGTCCTTCACCATTAATCTTTTTAAACATTTGTTCAGATGTACTAATGATTGATGACCGTGACTAGGCCATCCAGTAAGTGTTGCACATTCATGAAAACCAATGGAAGTAAAGATATAGTTCATTTCAGAAATACCACATAAAAACAAATTTATCAAAATATGCCTTCTAACCTACATTATCTTGCAGTGTTGAAAATAAAATATCTGACCTTTATAAAAAAAAGCTTAACCTTGTTTAAAAGAGTTTCATTGTTCAGAACATCTTTAAATTTGAATAATTCCTCTTGCAATATAAGTTATGTTCTGTGCATCCTCTTTTTCTTTTTGAGGATATATGACCTAGTAATCTGATTTTCAAATTTCATATTTTTTTAGATTTCTTAAAGTTACAAAATAACTGTATTACACAGATAAATAATAATATTTAGGTTCTTTAAAATAATAAGACATGGCTGGGGATTTAGCTCAGTGGCACCATGCCTGCCTCATAAGCTCAAGGTCCTGATTTCGATCCCTGGTATCAAAAGCAAAATAATAAGACAACAGAATGCCAAGAATCCATCTCTGATCCTCCAGTCAAGCACAGTCCCCACCTCCCTTAGCACATGCCGGAGCCCTCAGAGTAGTTAGTGAATTAAATCGGGGACCGAAAGTCTGCATTGTGTACATCACAGCCACATGGCCCCTCTCCCAGTGTGGTGTAACCTCCGCCCTTCGCTCCTTGTCCTGTTTGTGTGCATATAGTTTTCACACGCAACAGATCTGATGCATTTCCTTTACAAAAGCTCTCTCCACAATGACCTTCCCTTTCAGGAAGTGTTAAACATGCTGAAGGAAAGCAAGGCAGACATCTTTGTGGACCCCGTTCTTCACACCGCGTGTGCCCTGGACATCAAACACCACTGTGCGGCCATCACCCCTGGCCGTGGGCGCCGTAAGTCTCTCTGTCCACTCAGCCCTGTCTGTGCTCTCTTGGGAGCTGCAGCGTCCCCTGGAGGCCTGGTTGCTGCTGAAACTTGGCCTTTGTGGCAGAATGAGTTTAGGAATAATCCTGCAGGTCTGAACTGATCTGGCCATAACCAGAGCTAAGGATTTGGTAAAGGGAGAGAATTGAGTGACTTACCAGGGAAGCAAAAGCTAAGTCATCACGATGGCCTTCTCCCCGCCCTTCCTTTCCCACACTGAGCTTCCTTGGTAGCTGCAAAGGCATGCACAGTAGGCAGCTTTCTGAGGTTGGTTGTTCTGCACCCAGCATGACCAGTGAACATAAGAGAGGTCTCCCCTGGCAGCTGCATCCCACCCCTCACCATATTGGATCTTGCACCAAGTTCCCAGGAATGGATTTGATCCGAGATCTCTGGTGGCTGGGGATCCTTCTCCCTGACAGATGTCTCCGCTCTGTACAGTTGCAGACTGTTCTTACCCCCTTCCTCCCACAGAGATGTCCTGCCTGATGGAGGCCCTGGAGGATAAACGGGTACGGTTACAACCCGAGTGCAAAAAGCGCCTCAATGACCGGATTGAAATGTGGAGTTATGCAGCAAAGGTAAGACCAAGAGAGTCTAACATGGCCATCTCTTCTGTGGGTTTCCTGTCTCTGAGAGACTTCTGCTTGTCCTTGCTGGGAGACGAGCAGTAGGTGTACTTTGAAAAATCAGCCAGTGAGCCTTTAAAACTTCCTGGCTAGGAGTGGGTATTTAGCTCAGTGGTAAGACACATCACACCCATGGGAAAAGAGAGAAATCCAAGAGTCTTTAGGCTTACTTGTATACTTTTACACAGGCTTTGGGAGACCAAGTACATACCAGCACCAAGGAAAACCAGCACGCAGCTGGCTGGGTCAGGGAGAAGGATGAGATGCAGAGGGGCTTCAGGATGTATGGAGCGCAGGCAGACAGGGCTGGGGAGGGTCCCCTACACACATTCGCCTCCTGTGTATGTTGCTCTGTAGTTTACAAAACACTTCGGTGGCACTTCGGATCCCGGTGATGATTATTCCCTTACTTTACAGTGGAAGAAACTGACTTTAGAGATTATGACTTGCCCTAGGTCCCTTGGGTTTCGAGATCCATGCTTCTGTATTGACTCACACTGGGGGAGACATCCCAGTGACCTTCGGTCAAGACAGTGACCTTGGCCAGGTCTGTCACTCATCTACTCAAGGTCAAGAGTTAACAAACCAGGCACAGTGGGATGTGCTTCCAGTCCCAGCTACTGGGGTGGTTGAGGCAAGAGGATCCCCTGAGCCCAGGTGTTCGGGACCAGCCCAGCCAGCATAGCAAGACTGTCCAAAACAAAAAGATGAAGGGTAACAAGGCAGGGGAAGAAACCAGAGAAAGTCTTCATACCTAGATGGAAGGGAAATGTCACAGGATCACACTCTTTCTTCCAAGGGAAAACTGTGCCCCAGGAAGCAGCAGGCCAACACTGACTGCACTGTCCCTTCTTCCCACACTGGTTTCTGCTTCTTTGCCCTTCTTCCTGTAGCCAGAGTGACTCCGTGTGTGTTTTGTTTTGTGTTGGAAGTGTGGGTGCTCAAACCTCATTAATCCCACTTCTGCCTGCTCTGTCCTGTGTACGTTGGGGTGAACATAGGAGCATCCCGGGTGTCTGGGCCAGACCCTTCCCTCACGTCCAGACTGAGACTTCAGAGATCAGCTTTTCTTGTACCCTCCGAACCTTTTGGTCCTGGTTCCTCTGTAGTAAGCTGCACAGAGTTCCACTGGAGAAAGTATCGGAACAAGGTGAAAAGTGACCAAAACATAAACGTGCGCAAGTGCTATGGGATGAAGTCTGAGCTAGGGGTACAGCGCATCCAGGCCACGCTTGCATATTGTGATGTAATGAGCAAACCCAAGAGAGAGAACATACAACACAATCTCTACCTGTCTATTATTCCTTTTTTTTTTTTTTTTTTTGGTACCAGGGATCGAACTCGGGCCCTTGAGCTTGCACTGCAGGCGGCGAAACCACTGAGCTAAATCCCTGGCCCTGTGTCTGTTATTCCTAATGGCAGCAAACATGGTGAAGAACATAAGTCAAACCATATGAGACCCTGTGGCCTTGTACCAGTGTTCCAACCACCACCACCACCCCCGACCCAGGCCACAGGTCTTCATCTGTGACGTGGGCATGATGAGCCTGCCCCCGGGGGCTGGGGTGAACAGGACATAAGTGGAATCGTGAGACCCCTTGCCCCTGGTGGGTGTGGTCACGTCCACAGCCCAAGGGCCATTCTTGTGTGGCCATTCAGTGATGGTCATCGTGAGGGAACTGGGGTGGCTGTGTGAGACCTGAGTGACTCCATTTTAAAATTTTGGCCCCATTTTAGAGTAAGGTGGCCTGGACATAAATTCTAGTTCCAAGAAAAACCACAAGATACACTTTGGCCACCTGCCTGTGATAATGTTCAACAGCCCCCTAACAACTAGCCTAACAACAGCTAATCAGTAGCTGCCTCAGTGTCCCAGATGCTCTTCTCAATGGCCTGCAACAGCTAATCAGTAGTTACCCCAATACCCCAGTATCCCAGATATTCTTTTCGATGACTTGAACAGCCGTTTGCAGTTCAGCACGCAAGGCCCAACCAATTAGGTTTAAACTTTCAAAACTTGCTAAATGCTAGCCAATTGTATGATTTGTGTGTGATTTGAAACCCCTCGCCTTTTTGAAACCCCGCGCCTTGCTGTAACCTCTATAAAAACCCCTGGTGTTTTAGAGCCGGGGCTCTCAACCCTGACCCGCTGCGTCGGTGTCGGATGAGAGCCCCTGCTCGAGCTTAAATAAACGACCCTCGTGTGTTTGCATCAGAATCGGCTCCTTGGTGGTCTTTGGACACCTCGCGATCTGGACACAACAGCTGTGCCTCTTTGTAGCGCATAAGACCAAGCACTGCCGCTACCCACTGTCCCCCAGAGCATCACACTGCTGTGTCTCCTTCCAGGTGGCCCCAGCAGATGGCTTCTCTGACCTTGCCATGCAAGTGATGACATCACCATCAAAGAACTACATCCTGTCTGTGATCAGTGGGAGCATCTGCATATTGTTCCTGATCGGTCTGATGTGTGGACGGATCACCAAACGAGTGACACGAGAACTCAAGGACAGGTAGAGCTGCCTTGAGCACCAAAGGAACTCCCTGCCCAGTGCCCCGTTTGTACAGCCTTCCTGTATAGTGTACCCTCTTACCTCGCCCTTCTAAGAGGTGGCACCAACACCCACGATAGAGCAGCAGCAGGTGCCCTCTGCATTGTCCCATCCAGACTTGGCCATGCCCACGGTGTCTTCTTCCTCCACCGCTGCCATCGCCATCTGTGCAGTGTCCACAGCTGGCCACTTTGGTGGTTGCCTTGTTGGCGAACTTGGGTTACCTGCCTGTAGACAAGTCTCTCTCCTACAGCAGAACTACCATTTCTTCCAGAACCAACTCACCTGACCTGCAACTCATGCTTTTGTAAAAAAACTACCAAAAAAAAGGAAAGAAATTTTTAAAGAAAGAAAAAAAAATGTATATAATAACACATCTCCTCCAGGCTTGACTTGGGCAGCAGGGTTGTTTCTTCCATGTAGCTTCGTCAGATAAAGGCAGGAACTTGAGAAGACCCATACGCCCAGTACGCAGTCACTGAGATGTCTGGCTTGTCTCCCAGCAGCATCTTCAGGCCATGCCAGGCCTGGGACTTCACTGGGTAGTGGGAAGCCACTAACCAGCCTGATTTGGGTCCTGTTTGCTTCCAGTTGTCACTGAAAATGAGCCACTGCTGATCACAGTCCCACAGCCATGGGTATTTCTGTGATCTCCTTACCACAGTGCGGTAAGGTGTTCGCCTCCCTGAGCTGAGGGCAAGTGAGCTGGGGTCAGCTCAGGAGTCTGAAGTGGGACCGTCCTGCCGAGGATCTGCGGGGTGACCGGATTCAGAGTGTGCAGGCAGCAGGAGCCATCACCTTCCTCCCCAGGATGGTGTGGGACTGTCCAGCAAGGTCGCCCCAACTGAGGGGCCATTGCTTTCGAAGTTCTCTGCCACCAGGAGAGGATCCTGCGAGACAGGGTGAAAAGCGCAAGGGTCTGACCCACGTGGCTTTATTTTCCAGCTACAGTACAGACCAGAGCCAGTGGCTGGTGGAGATTTAGTGTGGTCTTGGGAGTAACTGGTGCCCCGCCTGGCCACCCCGCACGCTCCAGGCAGATCCCCAGACAGGCTCCTTTGTGCTCACATGGAGGGCATGGTGAGTGGTGGCATTAAAAGATGGAGGATTGTCTCCGTTCTTCTCTGTCCATTTGCTGCACCCTGGTGCTGCACGCACCCTGGGAGGCACTAGCTAAGTGCAGTATTTTGGTGACGCCTGGACATTCTGGAATCCGAGCTTTATAGGGGCACTGTTCGTGGCCACGCTCCTTGTCCCTCCAGGGTGGAGACGACAGGTTTGGGGCACAGGAGGGGGAGCCTGGGCATCGAAGTTCAGCCTGGCCACCTTTGGTTGCGTTGTGGCAGTGGCGTGACAGTGGCTGCGCGGGAGGGCAGCATGTACAGTAGGAGATATATTTATATAATATATATTTTATTAACCTGTTAAATGTCCACGGAGTATTATAAATCATGTGCCTAAACCTGGCCCTGTAGACCCAGGCCCATCGCAGCACCTCTCCTCCTCCTAGGCCCTGGGTGCAGCCCATGAATGCCAGCACCTACCGGAGCGGCATCTGTCTTCCCTGAAGTCTGTCCCCTACAGGCTGCGTCCATTGCAGATCTGTCGACCCAGATGCTCCTCGTCTAACCTGACTGATGTACCTTTGAATACTGTGGTTTTCTTCTTTCTTTTCTTTCCTTTGTCTTTTTTGCTGCCTTTCCTAGAGGCAGTGGGTTCCAGAAGCCAGCTGTATGTCCCCAGCCTAGGGTAATGCAAGTCACCAAGAAAAGCTGCTAAGCCACCTGGTCCCTCAGGGTCCTGCTCTAGGGTCTTCCTGATTCGCAGCAGTTGTCCTGGGAGTCTTCAGTCTCATGAGACTTGAAACGCTGCAGTGTGAGCACCATGCTAGCCCGCACGCTCTACAGACTGAGCTGAGCTGGCCTGGGGGGCCCCTCCCTCTCTGGGGCTACCCATCAAGGGGCGCCAGGCACCATGGATGCAGCCAATGTTACAGCAGTGTGCTTTTCGGGATATGATTCTTGTTTCCTTGGGTGGGGAGTGTCACTCCCGGTAAAGCATCCTTGTGGTTCTGATGCGCCTCTATATTTGTATTCTTCTGAACTGACAGGAAATCCCCTTAGTAGTCTGCAGCAGATTTGAAGGTTAAATGAACTTGGTTCATGAAACATTTGTCATATTTAGAAGTAGACTAGAAAGGATAACTCTGCTGGTATCTGGAGTTGCTTGTTACAAGAAAGTATGCACCATCCTCTTGCGAGTGTTTTCCTATGACTGGAAAGGTCTTGAGCAAATTTTCCTAAATCCAGGGGATCCAGCATCATCTGCATTGGCAGCCCCATCCCACTCATCCTACACCTCATTTGGCATCACAGAGCAGGTTCTGGGCCACCTGGGTCCCTGGCCTCATAGGTCAGTCGAGGTCATAAATCAGCAGTCGGGAACTAGTCAGGAGCCGATGGTGGGGTTTGGCCTTATGCATCCCGGATAAGAATACACCTTTCAGGTAGGATTTGGGCCACAGCCAAAGCTCCAGGTACTTGCTAAAAATTACAACGGCCAGGTCACTGGCCTTGCCAGCTTATACCAGTACCTCAGAGAGTAGACTTAGTGCTCCACCTCCCTCCAAGGATCCGGAAGCCTGACACCAGGGCTGGAGGTGCTGTGTATGGCAGGGGCCGTCAGAGATCCGGACAGAATCCCATAGACAGGACTAACTGCTCCCTGTCATGGGACTCCCCCCACAGAAGGGCCCACTCCGTGAGTGATCGATCTACCATTATCTACTGTGGTGCATCCCTGGAGTTCTCTGCCATCGCTCCTGCCCCATGATAGATCTTTTGGTAAGATCTGCTGACAGCAGAGCCATACCAAAGGCTGAGGTCTGTGCCTCTGGTGCTCTGCATTCCTGGGAGACCTATGGCTGCCACTCCCAGGCCTGGTTTGTGGATCTAGCCGGGCTGTCTGAGCCAATAAGTGTGTCCTTAGAAGTAAGGGGAACTCTAGGGCAAGCGATGAGTTAGTATTTAATGAGCAGGTGTTGACAGGAACTTGCTACAGCTACCTTGGCTGCGCTGTCTCATTCTGTGCTTGCCCTCCTGGGATACAGTGAAAAACTTGGGTGGGGAGGACACTTTCCTAGAAGATACAACAGAAAGTCACTGTCAGATTTCATGTCTTCCTGTTTCCTGAGGTCAAATGAAGAAGAATCCAATGGCAAGGACATTGCCATTTGCATTTTATCAGACATATTGGGAATATTGTAGTTCAAGGCCTTTGACCTTCCCAAGAGGAGATGTACCATTGTGTACATTGTGACTTCTGGAACTGTCCATCCTTTCCACCTTCAGGCTTGTGCTACCACTTCTGTCCTAAAAATCCCCGTAAAGAGTCATTGATGACGAGAGAGCTTCCTGGGCCTCCTTTCCTGGCTGGTCTCAAGTCCTCTTAAGAAAAGGTTCCCTCCCCATTCCCGAAAACACCTTTCTCCACGTGCACCCATCTCAGTATGTGAGGCAGGTGGGGGAGGACACGCAGGCCCTTGGAAGTCAGCCCAGCGTGGCACCAGCACCCTAAATTGTGCCGTAGAACCACGAGAAGAATGTGGTTTTATGGAACATGTGCATTTCAGTATGTTTACTTGGATTTCAGCTTCTTATGAGGTGGAAACATCTCAAAGCTCAGAATGCCTCCTCAGATTCCTTGCCATGTGAGCACTCCTGAGTGATTTTTATAACATGTGGTACCGGGCACCTTAGGGGTCTGTCTCCCAGCTCACCTCTCCACTGCTTGGCTTTGGCTCCCAAGGTGTCCCAGGCCAGATCTGACACACCAGCCTCCCCTCCTTCCATTTGTCTTGGGTCTGCCACCCGTAACCACACTCCACCTTGGACCCTCCACCAGGGAGGGCCAGGATCGCATGTCAGGGCAGTCTGGTCTAAGTCAGATTCCCTTCCCTCCCAGGCCTCAGAGAACAGGTGAGTGGGCTTCAGGGTGACACATTCCCCTGAGCCATCCGTGAGACTGCTGCAGGGACACAGAAAAGGGACTGTCACCCAGGGCACAAAGATGAGGTTGATGGTGACAGCACCACAGCGGGGAGCCCTTCCCTGCCCCACTGGCCCGGGCACCTTGATCCTGCCCTGGAGAGCTCTTCACAGGCAAGGAGGAAGTGCGGACCGCTTCTTTGTGTTGCATTGGCCATTCCCCTCACATAGGCCTGGCCCCTGCATCCCAGAGCCCAGACGGCCTCCTGCCAGGTGGTAGAACAGCTCTCCAGGTTCGTCCTGGCAGGAAAATGGGCTGCATATTAGTGCCGTGTGAGATCTGGGGCCTCTTACTTGTTTTTTGGTTTTGGGGTTTTTTTTGAAAGAAAGAAAAAAAGTACAATTAAGCCTCTTTTGTAAATGGGTTTCCTTTTTATGTATAAAATCCTGGCAGTTCCTTGTTTTTACATGTTCATGCTGTGTAATTTTGAGATGTTACTGAGATTCTGAACATAATGTGCATTTTTTTCTGTACAGATGAAATGGGAGAATTTAATAAAGAGTTTGCAGGTTTGTACTTGTTAAATCTTCTCTGTGGTGACTGGAAGGAATCTCCACCCACCTGCTCATGTGGTAGAAGTTTATGGAACTGAGCTGTGACCTCACCAGTGGCCCATGGGGTGCCACAGGGCAGCACTGCAGGGTGTGTAGAGGAAAGGAACCTCCGCCCCATGTTCTTGTGCCAGGACAGAGCTAGAAGTCCTATCTGGGGTTTACTGATGTGGGCTGCCTTGTCCACCATCACTGATCCTGCTGCCGTGGGGGCAGCAGACCTGGAAGCTCTCTAGCCCAGGGAGCCCCTGCCAGAGGTGCCCTGTTCCCGCCCACCCAACAGCCCAGCCCTGTGTTTGAGGCCTTTTCTTCTGCTGCCCCCATTCTCCAAAAAGCTAATGGGCACCCCTGTGTTAAAAGTTAATTGGCTGGGCCGGGAATTTAGCTCAGTGGCACCACTGAGGTTATGCACAAGGTCCTGAGTTCAATCCCCCGAACTGAAAAAAAAAAAAAAAGAAAGTTAAATCACTTGGGAGATCTGACTGGCAAAGGGATTCTTTTTTTTTCCTTCACTAAGTTTTATTGGTACTTTTTTTTTTGGTACTGGGGATCAAACTCGGGTCCTTGTGCTTGCACAGCAGGCAGCAAAACCACTGAGCTAAATTCCCGGCCCATATTGGTACATTTTAAATGTACAATATGATGACATTCGTCAGTGGGATCTTGTACCTTTACATGATGTATCTTGGTTCTTATTTTTCCCCCTTCCCCTGCCCTCCCTCCAACCCTCCCACCCCTCCCTATATACAAAGACTTTGTTTCCATTTTTTCCTTTTCTCATATTTTTTCCTTTCCCCTACTGGCAGAGGGATTCTTGAAGTAGTCATGTCCATTCTGTGCCTCCAGAGGGGCACAGGTATCCAGTGGAAGGGAAGCACAGCCTAGGACCCCTCTAGTCTGTGTTGGCGCTGTCACTTAGAGGACAGTGGCCTGCGCACAAGTAGAGGTGGGAAAAGGTGCAGAGAAGAGGGGAGGAGTGGGATTTGGGGGCCTCCTGAGTCCTAAGCACAGATGCTCCTGTGTCTGGAGCCTTGGGTTGTCGGCAGCCTCTGAGTGTGAGGAGTGTGGTGGCAAAAGCCCTCAGCATCTGGGCGAGGCTGCCTGGTTTGGGTCTAAGCTCCAGAAGTGGGATCCAGGGTCGGGGCTCCTTGTCAGCACTGCCTTCCCTCCAGAGGGCTTGCCAGGTTGCTGGGGCCTGCTGCCAGGGGCTTTTGCTCTGCCCTCCTGAGTGAGAGGCCCCTGCAGGCAGAGGGAGCAGTGACCAGAGTCAGAGTGGACTTTTCTTGTCATTATTCCCTAAAAAGTACAGCACAACTGTTTACATAGCGCTCGCATTGTTTCAGATGTTACAAGGGATGTGGAGGTGATATAAAGTATGCAGCAAGTTGTGTGCAGGTCACATGCAAATCTACTCACTTTCTGTAAGGGACCAGAGCATTGGAGAGTTTGGTATCAGTGGAGATTTGTGCGGGAACTGACACTCCGTTTCGTTCCGTTCCGTTCGTTCAGTAGGTGAGAAACTCACCTACCCTGTGGAGACAGTGGCTTCTGTTCTGTTCTCTCTGTACCACAGGGCTGGGTGTGGTGGAGCGGTGCCCACCCAAGGGCAGGGTGGGGGCAGAACCCAGCCCAACCCCGTTGCTGTGGACGGGCCTGGTCCCCTTGCCCGGAAGGTCTCTGGTTTCCTTTTCCTCAGAGGACTTGAAGCACATTTTCCCTGTGCTCTACACATTGGTTCCGGATCTGACCCAGCCTGCAGACCCCTGATGCTCAGACTGCTTGACCTGACTGCTCAGTTCTCTGTCAGCAGTTACCAAGTGCCTGTGCTTGACAGTAGAGGGTCACAGGTCAGGATTCGGGCATCCTTCCAGGGGTGCTTGCCTCACTGCGTCCAGCTCTAGCCTTCTGCACCTGGAGCACAGCCCATGCCCTCCAGCCTCTCCCCTCTGCCACCTCCCTGAAAGGGGAGTGAGACAGTAGTGTGACGTGGTGGGCAAGCTGTCCCCCAGCTTCTCGGCACAGGTCCCAGTTCTCCCTTAGGCAGGATGTAGCCATCCACACAGCAGGAACCTGTCTTTACTCTCAGGAGACAGAAAAGCCATGGCATTTGATTTTTGTTGTTTGGGTGATTGGTTTGGTTTTTGATTTTGGTTTTGGTTTTAACTGGGGAATTGAACCCTGGGCTTTTGCACTGAGCTACATCCATGGCATGC